CGCTAGTTCTGTGCTCCCGGTTTTCATCATACCAGTTTCTATTTGCGTTGTCTTGGGTGTCGCGTTTGGGGAAATGTATACAAGAACGTCGACGGCCACAAAGAAGTTGGTTTCGTCAGCGCAGTCACCCCTTTTTGCGCAGTTCGCTGACAGTCTTGCTGGACTTGCTGTCATTCGTGCGCGCGCAGGCCTACCTCAGACATTTGGGTACCAACTCGCAGACAAATTGCGCGTCTTGGAGACGGCCCAAGAAGCTCAATTCAATTGCAATCGTTGGGTGGCCCTCAGAATCGACGTCATGACGGCTGTAGTCACTGTATGCGCAGGTATAATCGCCGTGTCAAAAACGGGCGCCATAGCCGCCGGCCTCGTTGGCTTTTCTTTGAGTAATGCCACTGTACGTGATGCTAATACACTACCTAAGATTTCATGATGCTAATCCAGTTCCTTAGACTCTAAACTCTCTCATAGTCTTCTTCGTTCGTATAATGAACGACGTTGAAGTCGAACTCCAAAGTGTAAGCCCGGGAAAACGCATATCGCGTGCCCAACATGATCGTACTGACGCCACACAGTACCACCGTGTGAAGGAATATGCCATGGTCGAGCCCGAAGAGAATATTGAAGAATATAAAGACCAAGCAGCTTATACCGACGATCCATCAGTGGTCTTGCCTAAAGACTGGCCCAGAAACGGCGAGATTGAGTTCCGTAACGTCACGATCAAATATGATACCGATGGTCCTGAAATTTTGAAAAACATCAGCCTCAAATTTAGAGCTGGAGAAAGAATTGCCATAGTGGGTCGAACAGGCTCAGGGAAAAGTACCGTAAGTCTATGCGATATTCACTATCTCTGACAACATTTCCCACCGTGCCTTCGCAACTTTCCCATTACGGCTTGGTTGGCTAACTTAGAGCACAGCTGGTCCTCTCCCTTCTCCGCTTCACCAATATTGTATCAGGTCAGATATTTTTCGACGGCATAGATATCACAAGCTTCCCGCGCAGAAAACTGCGAGAAGCTCTCACCATCATTCCGCAAGAGGCAGTACTATTTACTGGCGACGTAGGTTCGAACTTGGATCCGACGGGTAAGGTACCTGAGGGGGTCCTAGAGAAAGCTCTTGAGTATTGTCGCGGTATAGCGTCCTTCGAGTTCCATCGGGAAGGAACTTCTTCAGGCGATTCAACCCCCGACTCGAACGCTTCAGGTGGTATCACCCTCTCATCAAGTGTGAAAGCTAAGGGCGATAACTTCTCCCATGGCCAGCGCCAAGTTCTTTCCCTGTGTAGGGCGCTTGTTAGGAAGAGCAAGCTCATGTTGCTTGATGAGGCGACGGCCAGCATGGATTACGAGACGGATCAAGGCATTCAGGTTCGTGATTACATCTCAGATTTCGCTCCCCTCCTGCTCCCTAGGGTTGAATGAACAGAGTTACTATCCCGTATTTGATAGTCACTGACTCTCAAAACAGGAGGTCCTACGAAAAGAGTTGAATGAGCACGGCAGAGACAGAACGCTCGTCACTATTGCCCACAGACTAAAGACAATCATCGACTACGACCGTGTAGTTGTCATGAGCGCGGGGTCGGTGCTAGAGTAAGTCTTGAGACTTCATAACTATCTAGTGACAATCATGTACTAACTTGCGCACATAGACTTGGTAGTCCAAAGGAACTGTATAATGCCAAGGGCCAGTTTTATGATATGATGGTTCATAGCGGCGAATTTGAGGACTTAGAAAAGATCCTTGACACGAAGACTTGAGGATACTTATTCACTAAAAGTGATTGATTCGAGAAGCAAGCTCCCCGGAGCTATAGCATGTGTATCGTTTAATTCAACGTCTATGTCAACATGACTTGGAGAGAGTTGACTGTTTATAATGCCTGAAATAAGCGAGCCTCTCGTCAAGATAGAAAAGCTTGACAGCAATCAAGCTGGTGTCCAGATGCCCTTCCCAGAGGGAGCGGAGGGCGCATATAGAGGGAAATTGGGACACCGACAATGGAAATAGATATTCCATGATTGAAAATTAGCAAAGTAATGAATACAAAACAAGCAAACGCTATACAAGCGAAGAGCATGCACATTGTACGCGAAAATGAAGAGCTCCTCTAGCTTGTTAACTAGGTCAACACTATTCTCTTGACTTTCGATCCGTAAAGCAAAGTTACAATGGTATATTGACCATGGTAAAAGTGTCCCTTGAGTCTTGGATCGGTGCGCCACCAGTCTCCCCTTTCGCAAACGAGACATCAAATCTGAGAATAACTTTGGTGATAACGGAGCAGAGTTCTTTCAAGTCTAGTTGCTTGCCAATGCACTGAGGATTTACGTATTGGTCAGTCATTCGCTAATTGCTGGTGTGCAGAGATGGGTAAGAACCCTTACAGGAATACCGGCCAGAGGAAACGGAGAAGAATGCATTAATTTCGATCATCATCTCTGGTTTGGTCGTCCAGCGCTCTGGTATAAACTATTTGACTCAACGAAGGTGTATGATGCTATAAGAGTACGTCAGCCAGCGTAAAACATGATTCTAAGTATGTCAACGAGGATTAGATAAATATCCGAGTTTGACTTACATGAATGAATGGCACATATTGGGCCCATGATCCGCGTATCAGGAGGTACGAACACACTATTCATCACGATACCCTCGGGGGGAACATGCCGAGGTACACCTTCGGGGACTGGAGGATGTAATCGTAGTGTATTGTTCATGATTGCGTTGAGGAACAATAACTTTTGCAATCCCATAATGACGAAACCGCTGCCTCCTTTATCCTTTATACCGTGTTCTGCAAGCTCTTCGCACAGCCGACGGATCAGCGTCGGATTACGAGAAAGCTCCTAGAACAAGTACGTAGGTGTCGTGGCCGTGGTATCACTACGAGCCACGATAAGCAGACGTGCGTCACCAATCATAACACCTTCTTGTTGGCGAGACGATGCGGAGGATTGAGTGGAAAAGGGTACGGCCTCGAGGGTATGTGACATGGCAGCTGGTTTTTCAGGCTCACGTACTCAACGTTTTTCCATGCAGTCCTTACAATACTTGATAAACGGTGCGCGAGGATTGAAATTGTTAGGAAGCAGTGCCGTGATTACACAGACACTCCACGGCTACCATCAGCAGCGAAAAGGCTTTCAACTTCATTGAGTGAATCTGAATCATATTCGCCGTCTTCTAAGGCGTTGAAAGATCGAGCAAAGGCAAGATCACCTATTATGTATCAGTGTTCAGAGATTTCATGCCAAATTTGATGTCCAAGCAGCCCACAACCCATGATATCATATGAAAAGTAGTCAAACCACTTTGTGGCATCTACTGCTCTGCCATTTTGTTAACCAAGTTTGTGCAGTAGGATATCGGCGTGTTTCAGTACACGCGCATCATAATTATGCAGTGACTTGGCTTGGAATGCCTTGTCTCACCTATACCTTTGTCGTTTATTATGAAGTGCACTCTCGCGCATCTCATGTAGGCTGAGCACACCATGCTCGGCTTTGTACGCTATTCTCAGACTTTCAGTCAAAGAAGCCGATGTGCGATAGAAACCCTAGTGCAGCGGCTAGCCCAGCCACCTTTGGAAGAGACTAATCAAAGCTCCTCGCCAACTCGTGTAGATTGCTTGTGGTAATCATTTTTGAATTTCTTATGAAATGACAAAGGACATCGTGATAGTTTCAACCGTCAAAGGTGCTGATATAAGCCAAATACCTATTCCGCCTATACGACCCTTTCAAGCAGCGAAAGATTTAGTCACGCCACAGCTTCCCAGCCCTACTCAACTTCCGAGGCAGCGTCAAGCTCGGTCAGCGTAAAAGAACACACGGTATGCTGAGCCGGCCAGGGGATTGCCAGATCTCGCCAGTTTGCGGGGAAACGTTACAATTTCTCAACTTTAAAAACTCAGTTTATTCACTATATATGTATTTATAATGAGAGCGATGTGGGGGAAACCTTTGCTGCTATTGCGTGTATGCTGCTGGACCCCGGGTTTCTTGCACCCTGTGCCAGTATCATGAGTCCTTCTAACATATATCCTAAATTTAGACGGGCCAATGCTAATCTCAGTATCAGATTCTCTTCCTTGGCAATTTTGTTTTCAATCGCTCAGTCGTGCAGATAGTAAAGCATGAGGTAATCTTCGGCACTCCAACGCTAGATCGACACGAAAATGTAGATTGCATTCATTCGATAGAAGCATTGTTGATATGTATGGTGGCATGAGATTCTTTCTGCAAGGTCTGTTGGTATGTCACATAGCCTTTGTCTCAAGCAAGATCCAATTAATTCTTATAACATCCTCAAAAGTGTCGGAACTTCTCTCATCTAGGTAATAGGAGCAAGCTAGTGTCAAAGGGGGAATGTTGAAGAGTAGAAAGTTTCGTTAGAATGTGCCACCTGCCAGCCTATCAAATACTCCCTATACAATGCCTCCGCCCTTCCTCAATGTATACGGTGGCTTCCATCTGCAGGTACGAGTATTTACGGTGCGTGTCCGGGTCTCCGGCCCCACTGACAACCACAGTGGCAAGTTGAAGTAGGTACGGCCTGCGACTCCTGCCATTTGTGTCCCGTCATAGTCACTCACTCACAATACGCATCCGCAGTCACCATTACCTTTTCTCATCCCTTGAAAGATGATTGCTTAATTGATCTAATATCCATAATGATCATTGTCTGTAGTCATCACAGAAAATCTGAAAATGCGCCAAAAGGGAGGAAGGCAACAAAAAACAATACAGAACACACAACCAATCCACAATCACAACAACTCCAATTGGATAGAACTCGAAAAGAAGACCCTAGAAACCGATAAAAGAAGCAAAAGAAGAAAGAGTGACATAGAGATTCTATCTATCCTTCACACCAGCTGCCGACCAAGTGTAAAAAGTAATGAAATTACTGATCAGAAAAGTGTCAAACAGCACTATTCTGGATATGATAAATCAGAAAAAATTACAAAATAATGTGAAAAAGACAGGGTTCAGCCGGGATTTGAACCCGGGGCCTCTCGCATATTACTCAGGGTGAGTCCCTAAGCGAGAATCATACCACTAGACCACTGAACCGGTTGGAATCAACTCGGTGTTATTTCAAATCATATTTTGTCAATTTGTATGCTGCTGGGAATCAGAGATTTTTAGCCAATGACTAGCTACACAACTAGGTTATGTGCCCCCATAACTAGCCCCGCTAGCAGGGAGTAGACCGAAGGGTTCTCCGAAAAGAATTGACATACTTATAGGTTAACCTCTTTTTCATACAGTCAGTTCCATCATTATTTTCAAAGCTTGGAAGGCTTTTTTTTTTTTTTAATAGGGAGTGATTCAATAATCACTGTTGAGATCTTATAACTACGTGAAATAGAGAAAGCAAGCTCAAAAAGTGGTTGTGTTGACTGGTTGTGTTTAGAGGTTATATGGAACACTGCCACTTCTCTTGGCTCGTAAGCTTTGAGAAGTTCACTACGAAGTACGCCAGCCGCCAGCCCATTTGAGTCATCTTATGGGTGAATGGTTAGTCACGCCAAATATTACTTGGCGGTAGTGGATAGATCGCTCTTGATAAAGCCTTCTTACTTCGCTGAATTTTTTGACTTCCAAGTCTGCGATCCTACCAGTGCTCTGTCTTGCTCTATTACGGACATTACAGATAATGTCATGTAGAGTTACTATGATCACACACATCACAGTCAGTCCAAAAATCCCAAATCAGGTGGACTTGGCTCAAGTGGCTGATGCAACGATACTGAGCCTTCAAATAGATCAGTTAAATTGGATTTTAAGTGTGGCTCTCGAGTCACCAACCAGCACGTGTTCATACCCTAATGTTCATTTAGATCTTCTACCATCCGGACTCTCTCGGAGCTAAAGACTGATACCCATTGATTGGTGTTAGTACTATACGCCCAGAGCCTCAACAAGGTTGTTTTGATAGTGGCTTAAAACTTAATAATACTATCATCTAATTGAACTCTCCCGGATATCATGCCACCAAGTGCTTTCCATCTCTACATGAGCTCAGCACTAGTGTGTTACTCATGGAATATCTACTATCAGTGATTATACACCACCCTGATGAACCGAAATTTGCCCCGGCACGGCGTTTATAAAAGGAAAGACTCCCGTCATCTTCAAACCTATGTCTCTCTCCTTCGCACCCCCCAGCCTATGATCCAAGTCGTAACAAGTATGGACTGGCTGCGCAGCGGAATCGCGAGCGTTGCAGTGTGGCCGCCTCAGTCGAGTGTCTATATCGATGCCCGTTCATCATCACGACACCCACAGAGCCCTTTCAAAAAGCATGATGAACCACCACCCGGGGCACGACATCGCCATCTCAACGGGGGACGGGGCGTAGGCCTGGGGTGATTTCCCAGCACCGCCTTTAGCCCTCCGTGAGGTTTGTGTCGTCGGCTTATCGTTTTTTTTTCCCCTCACAATTTGATACAGTGCACGAACGAAGCGAGCATTTTCCTGTTCTTTTCAACTACTCACGTGGGAGTGCGGGTGATTCCACGTGTTCGCCAATGATGAAAATGGACAATCCGTTTCGTTGTGAGCCGTTGGCAAGGCCTCGGTCCGCCATGCTCGAGAAGTTTCTCGAAGTCTCAACGTCTATCGGGAGGGACTTGAGATGATGGAAGGATCGGCCTGCCATGGTTCTCGTATCTTGTGTGCTCGTCGACGCACGATGCAAATTCCAAGGGGAGGGACGGTTGTCTAATGCTGAGGCAAATGCATTTGTTAAGCTCGGTTGCTACTAAGTGAACAGATTCGCATTTTTACATTGCAAATCCTGTGTGGGATAGGACAATGGCATTCGTGTTGTTATTCCACTTCTTGGTTTTTGTCACTCGATTAAAAAAAAACCCCTCTGGAATTAAGTGCCTATCCCATTACATGTATCTCGATCTCCCTTCAATTCCCGCTATTTCCCTCATCTGGTGAGCGTCTAGGCACTATCTTAATTACTATCAAACTTACTTATTTCAATCGACGACTATCGTGTAGTCTACACTTTTGGGGTTACATTGCGATAAACATCGAACATACATCAATTTGGGAGGGTTCATGATCATTCTTGAACTTCTATATCACATTGGTTGACACGAGCACAACCTAGATCAAGATACTCGGTGATGTCTCATTGTGCCTATCTATTGTGATAAGTATGCCACAGTCATACCACAGTTATGCAACCAGCTATTCTTTCCATTTTCTCTAATTAACAGATAGAGACTTCCAACACAAATCACAAACGTGAGAAGACCAAAGGGATAGAAACAAACTTAAATATATTCATACCATCAAGTACTATCAGATGAATCGCTTCTCAGGCAAAGACATGTGTCGGGACAAGGAAGATCGTGAATGCTTCCTTTAAAATACAAAGACTCTTCTCCGCCATCATCCCAGGGCTGTCTGGCTGAGGGCAGATCAACCGTGATTTCAATCTCAAGTGCCTCCTTCCTTGGACTCGAGAGGACCGCTTGGGAACAAGCCTCGCGGAAATTATGTCGACTCTCGAGTTCCCACCAATGTGTCAACTCGACTTTGATTCGTTCCAGATTCGAGGTCCTACAAAAAGGCACAAGGTTATCCTCGTAGTTGTAACGTACTACGGTCTCGCCAAGGTCACGCGGACGCGTAAGTACGAGCTCCGAAATCAACTCGAAATCATCGGAGCATGTCGAAACTAACAACTCTAGAGCCTCTGGATCGACCGATAATACTGTGGGGTACTTAGCAAGGACCCCTCCTCCCTCGCCCACACTACGAAAGGCTCGACGATAGTGTTGTTTCGCGATATCGTGAGCTTCATGGTTCACGAGGAAAAACGGAGGCAGGACAGCCGTAGCGACGAACCGAGTGGCGTAGCCAGTGTCATAACAGCAATGACCCTCAAAGCTCCTCCCTCTAGGGACAACCCTGAGCTTGGTGCACGTGATGTGGACTGCGGTGAGCTCTTCCATCGCCATGTTCCAGATTGAGCGTCGCAATTCAAGGGGTAGAGCTGGGAATTTGTTAAAATTCGGCTGCGCCTTAAGCCAATCATCACGAGCGTAACGCCGCTTTTTATACAAGGCAAGTTTTCTCTCCTGATAGTGAGAAACACTGGTGCTGCTAGCCCTTAACTCCACGTTCTCGCCTGAGGCCCGCTCGGCCATGGTATGAGCGGGGATACTCAGGTAGTAAGGGACAATAGGCTGGGGTTGACTGGAAGAATGGTCCGGTGACTTCGCTCGTTGTGGTCGCCACATTTCATCTAAGAATGTGTTATCCTCTAGTCCTGGAGGTCCAGGTCCGACGAGGTCATCGAACGGGTTTGCCAATTCGGCCCTCTCTGACGGTGCCATGTCTGCTTAGCAACTTATTTTGATATGGCGATGATGCTGAGAGCTGATGAGATAAAGTAGGAAGTGAAGATTAGAGAGAGAAAGATGAAGCAGGATAGGACGTCCTCGTGCTGTGTAGTCATTTAGTACCGCCATCGGCCCAGGCCAGGTCGGCTGCCTGCTGCGAGCGTGGCCAATCAGCTTCTGAGTTCCTTGGGAGAACCAACATACTATGTCATCTGCTCAGGCTGTTGCAGCCAACAGCAAAGGCTCGACCATATTCTATCGTCATCTCCCCATTTGGTTTGGTCATTTTCTTCTTCTATCCTCCGACTATTGAGACCAACCGATAGGCTGCCTCCTGATGATGTTGTAGTCTTGCCCATTTGAATGAGAGTGAGGAGGCCTTTATTACCCTGTGAATCGCTAGATAATATATTCAATATTGACAACCATTAAATCACGTGTCAAAGAAGACTACCCCTATGTGTCGATCTATGGGGGACGTCACTTTACCAGTCATGGCAAGAAACCGCATAGCTCTGGTCTCAAGTACTACGCCTTGTCTTCACTACGCCCAACCGAATACAAACACAAAATTGAAGCCCAACACAGTCTTCTCCCTTCTACTTCCCTCGCACGATACCGAACCCTTTCCCAGGAACAGTGAGTCAACTAGAGTAGAAGAGACGCACTCATCACGCCTTGGGCATGCCTCATACGGAGGTCAAAGGTGCGGCGAGAATAGAAAATCTTCTTAAGAATGCGCACGCCAGCCCTCAATAGAGGCTTGTTGAGGGCGCTGATTCGTGATATGTAACGTATCCCGGGTAGTACTAGCTCATAGACATTGTTCATAATGGGACTGATAGATACTGATTCTCAACTCTTGGTTTTCATTTTTGCCCACCCAGATACGGTCATCTAAACTCATGCTTATTGATGCCGAGTGTTTTGGAGAAATGATAGTAAAAACTACTGTGCCACACAGCCACTTATGCACCGATTCATGCAATATTCACCTCCTCTCTACCGAATATCACGCAGAGGGGCCAACATGCTACTGGACCTTCTTCAGGTGGACGTCGCTGGGAATTTATGTTAGCTTTTGCGAATTACCAAAGCTGTGTTCGTGATAGCGACTCACAAGATCAGGTCAGCGTTGGCGGGAATGACACCGGTGAAGCCACTATCAAGATCTGTTAGGGATTATCCGTTGAACACGCGTATTGAGTCAAGTGGTATGATGCATGTGGAGTTTCGAGGCGATACTGTGGTGATGAGGCGCATTTTGGGGTTGGAAGATGGGACGTTAAAGCTTACCGAGAGCCATAACCATAGTCACTACATGAACTCAGTTAGTCCGCTGTCAAGTCTGGGAAATGTGATAATTTTGATCATACCTCGTGATGTCGAGGGTGGCCTTCTCACCAACCTTCATTGTGACAACGCCCTCGTCCCAGCCTTACAGGAAAAGATGCGTTAGCGTTATTACTGATGCCATGGACATCTAAATTGACAAAGCCTCACCTTTGATGACACGTCCCACACCAATGGGAGTGACGAAGTCGCCTCGACCAACCGAGGAGTCGAATCTGTCAATGGGATTATTTCATTAGCGTCTAAGCATTGACACAGAGACAAGATGGACAGGGTTTGGTGACGACAAAGTCAAATCCGCAAGGTAGAGAGCGAGAGGGGTAGTCCTATAGAGTCATACTGGGCGCCCTT